GCTGCACAGATGTGTGTGTGTGTGTTTTCATTTTTCCCATCATGGCAATTCCTTGGTACTAGGACCAGTTTGGTTTTCTGAGAATTGGCAGTGTCTCTTCTGTTATTGTTGTTGTCCTAGAGCCCTTCCCTGCCAGCAGATCCAGTCATGAAAAAACACCCCAGCCTGCTACTTTATGTCTGAACAGTTTCCCCACTTTTCTTCTCTTGTTTTTCTAGTAACATGAAAAGGAAATGGTGGGGGGAGAGACGGCTGCTCAAAATGAGTCTTCTGGAGAACCAGGTTGCCATTCTAGGCAGCTCCCTTTGTTTGCTGCAGGAGTCTCTCTGGGCAGAGATGAGTCATACATTAGCAGTGCAGAGACTGCGCCAGCCAAGCAGCAGCCATTACTCTCTCAGCAAATTTGTGAGAGAACCCTGCTTTAGAGGGGGAGCCCAGGAGGGATGAAGACCCATGACAATATTCCCCATCTTTGCCTTCCTGGAGGCAGCTAAAAGAATAAGCAAACGCCCCCCTTTCATCTTTCCACCCATGAAAGTGAGACATGTGGGTAAAGCAACAGACAGAAAAACAACACATAAGCATTAGGTTGCACAAGTCAGAGATTTGGCATGTGCCCTCTATGTTCAGCACCAATTCTGATGTGGATAGACATGGCTGCTCCTGTGTAGCCCTTCACCTCTCATCGTCTTCTTTCAAATTCTTCATGCCATGGGTCAGAGATGGGGGCTAAGTGCTGCCTCTTGATCAGGGCCTCAGGACTCTCTCTCTCTAGGCCAAAGCCCGTCCCCAAGCTACACCCCTCACTGGCCCTGCACCACTTCTTCCCTGAGTACTTTTGCCTGGCAGTTTGCACTTTCACAGCAATAGCTGTAACCCAGCCATACTTGGGCATTCGCAGTTCTCTGAATGTTGTGATGCAGTTCGCCCACAACGTAACACATCTAATAGGGGTAAAGTATGCATTCAAAAGCATATACTAGTGAACATAACATCCAAAAATGCATAATACTAGGGGAGAAACTGCTTTGCAAAAAATGTCTATATTGGGCAAGATGGTATACAAAAATGTGTATATTAAGAGAAATTTGCTATTAAGATGCTGGTGAATTTTCATGAATACTCTTTTTCTTAATCACAAACTTATGTCAAAATGTGGAAAGCTCAACTTAAAAGTGGAAAAATGAGGGAAACTAAAATGGGCAGACTTACTCATCCCCAGTGACCTAGCCACTTGCCCAAGCAGCTTCCTTTCTTTTGGTGAGCATCTTCTCTTATTTGGGTCAATCCTTTTTCCTGATGGCTTCTTTTCAAACATTTTATGTTGTTGTTGCTCCCCCATCAAGATCTAAAACCCTTCTTAGTTCTGGACTGGGGTTATTTGGAGAAGAGGTTGAATTTCCAGGCAGGTCTCTGTCATGTGGTGAATGTGGGGTAAGTGAAGCTAAACTTCAGTTCCCAGATGGAACTGCATGATTCCAGGATCGTCCCAGTGTGCATGTCAGTGTTTTGGGTGGAAAAGAAGCTCTCAAGAACCAGATGACCTTTTCCTGAGAATTATTCAAAGATGCTGAATATGTACTGAACCAAATGGAATCTGCCCATCATTATGTTGAATCATGTGCTGATTTAAGATACAGAACTATATACTGTAGACATTGATTTCCTGTTCCATTAGTGTCTGACTTTATTGGGAAGCCTTTCATACAAGGGCCACAATGTGGGGGAGAAGGATCAATAGACATACCCACCAACAAGGCATATGCCATTAAGGTTGCAGTCCTTAATAAATTTACTAAAGTGTAGAGCTGAGTAGAAAGTGATTTGACTGAAAAGTCATGAAATTACCTCAGCAACCTGAGAAGAAATGGTTCTGTGAAATTGCCCCACCCTGATTTTGTTTCTCTAAATTATTTCATGAAGAATTCAGCACATTTACCTGGGAGTAAGTCCCACAAATCTCACATAGCTAATTTCTAAGTAGGCATACATAAGACTGCACTGTCAATCTCTTACTCCCCACTCTCCTCACAAAAAACCAGCATGAGATGCCTTTTGAATCTTCAAATAAAGCAGTGGGGGTTGCAGTACATTCTTATTTTTAAAAAAATAAATAAACATAAAACATAAAACAGTAGATCAGGATTAAAAATAGTATTGCATGAAATGGCACACTGAGACTTTCTATTTTTAACAAGCCCATTTCAATCTCTTTTTCAGTCACCTTTGAGAAGGGGATGAACACTGCTCTTGGGGGTGGGAGGTACATTTTTATTTTTACTTGTATTATTATTACTTG